GTATGCCGCCCATCTCCCCCACAGGTGACTCTGGGCGGCTCACAATAAAAAAGAAGAAATAAAATTCTCTCCAAGATGGCTAAACACTATAAATAATTTAAAAACATATTAAAAATACCCTAAAAAACCTCCTCTAATTTTGGCCCTATAAAAAAATTTGGCTCGTATGCCGCCCATCTCCCCCACAGGTGACTCTGGGCGGCTCACAATAAAAAAGAAGAAATATAATTCGCTCCAAGATGGCTAAACACTATAAATAATTTAAAAGCATATTAAAAATACCCTAAAAACCCTCCTCTAATTTTGGCCCTATAAAAAAATGTAAGATGCTGTGGGGGGGGCAACCCATCATGCCACCAGCCATCTCCACAGGAGCGGCCCACCCTCTGGCCCCCAGGCCTCCTGACAAAGCCAGGATTTAATCCCTTTCCTGAAGGCCATGAGGGAGGGGGCACACCGCACCTCAGGGGGCAGGATGTTCCATAGGGGGGGCGCTGCAGCAGAAAAGGCTCTCTGCCTAGACCCCACCAATCGAAATTGGGTGCTAATCGGGTGCTGCTTCCTTTCCTGACCAAGCTGTCCTCTCGTGTCCAAATCCGTTGTCCCTGGAGCGCAGCCACCTTTTCTGCCCGTGCAGCGTTCTGAACTCCTATTGCCAGTGAGGCTCTGAGCTTGCAGGAATTTGGAATTCCAGGGGCCAAGCCCTGGAGGGAAGGCTGGGTGCTTGAGGGCTTTGCCCACTCCTACAGCCCTTCCCTTCCCTTCCCTTCCCTCCTACCCCAAGCGACAAGAAGATCCGCGAGAACAGTCTGCTAGTTAAAAAAAGGTTACCAGCAATAAAGGGCATAGCTCAGGAAAAGAAGAAAAATAGCAATTAAAACTTGTGGCCGCCCAGCTTCAAACCAGGGACCTTTCTTGTGTGAGGCAGCCAAGGGAACCTCTCTGCTTCTGGAGCGTTAGTGCCAGAGTAGCTGGAACGTTGATTTGACAGCTGGTGCCTTTGGGTGCCTCAACTCTGTAAGCAGCACTCTGCCTTTCAGAAAGTACGTATTCCTATAAGACTCAGAAGAGGAGCGATTGGCGATTGCTTTCCTGTCGTGGTTGGGAGGGGCATCCAGCCATCAGGGCCGTGTGAAGTGTGGCCCAGGCAGAACGCTCTGCCAAAGTGGAGGAAAGGGTTAAAACGCAGGAGGTTTCTTAAGCCGGTTTCATTTCCAACCAGTTTACCGCTGCCTGCAGGGCAGAAAACCCCCATCTTGGGCCCAGAAATGTACTTTTGGGGATGACTGTGCTAAACCTTAACCCTGCCATAACTACATTGAAATGCCCCTTTCGTCCCTAACTCTGAACCCATTTGAACGCAGGCGTTTTGTTGTGACCTGTGGCACTGAGAGGATGAAGGGTTGCCCGGGTGGGAGGTATCCTGTTTAGTTCCCTGATTCTGCTCTATCTGAGCTTCCTTTTTATACTTCCTCTTCTGTCCAAATATCTAAATGTTCCAAGCGTGCGAGCGATGGAGCTCCAGAGCCTGTGGTCTCCTGATGACTCTTTCTGACCCTCTAGGTACTTGGAGCGTGATGTGAGGAATGCTTCAGCGGCAGCTGTCCTGACATCTGGAACTATTGCTGTGTGGGATTTATTTCTAGGGCAGTGCACTGCCGTGCTGCCCCCCAACTCTGAAGGCAGCTGGTCTCTGGCCAGGTGGTCGGTCACAGACACTTGCCTGCTGACTGGGCAAGAAGATGGCACGGTTTATCTTTATAGGTACACGGGAAGCATGCACTCTGATCAAGAGACATGCTCCATTCGGAACAGACCCGACTTCCTGCCTCTCAAGAACTCTGGAGCCGAATCCCTCTGACGGCAGGTTCCGTGACACATCAAGTTTTGTGAAGTGTGAACAGGGAGATTCCACAACAGTATTGTCCAAAAGGAACTCAGAAATTGGGCATGGTCACAATCCACTTTGAATATTTCTTCTGCAAACTAACCAGAATTAACAGGAGCTCCTGGTTGGCTAAATTTCGCTTTTTGGAAGAAATTGCCTCATACCTGTTAAAAGAAAATGAAACTGAAAAAGCAAGCAACACATTTCATTGATGTTCTTGAATACGTGATTATTTTTTGTAAAAGGTTTCCAGGTTTTTGTACTAAGCGTGAGCAGGGATAAATACGACAATAAAAAGTCATCTTTCCAATAGATCAAGTACATGATGATGATTTTCATGTTAACATCATTGTTCTCCCATTTCCTTTTTGTGATAACGCAAAAGTAGCATTCCTGATCATTCCAGAGGAAGATGAGACGTGACTACAGTGGAGCCTGAAGCTTCTGTGCTCGTGCGGGGCATATTCTGCTGGCTGGGACAGATGCCTCAGGACCGCAGGAACATGGGACATTCCTCTCAGCCCCCCGCCCCCACCGGCACCAAAAGTGGGGAACGGAGCTTGGGGCTGCAGCTCAGCCGCCTCTGCTCGGGGCCCTGAATAGTCAGAACGCCCCCGTCAGTGTGAAGCCGCTGCCAGGGGAAGGGAGGAAGAGGAGGAGATTTTCGGATCGCGGTGATCGGGTCTTGGCTGCCCTGCGGATAGAGTAAGGGTTAGCAGGGGTGGGCTGGGAACACGCTGTGGGAATACTGTGTAATTTCCAGTTTAGTTTGCCCCCAGTACGTTCCACGTAAGTCCTGTATCCAGATCAGAGCAAGTTCAGCTGGCAAAAACGGCCTGACGGCCGCAGCACCAAGCCAGTTAATTGGCAAAACAGGATGGAAGGCAGAGAGAGGCGCAGAGGGATAAAGGGTGGGCTGGCGTGTTGATCTACACCGAAAAGATGGGGTTTTCAGAGCCGCTGGCAAGAACGCTGTCGGCAACCGGCAGAGGCAGTCCCCGAGGGGTGGCCTCTGCTGGCAGAGGCGGCGTGCAGCAGCTTTCCCGCAGCTGCCCTCTGCCAACTTGCTGGGTTTCCTCCCCCGCTCGGGTAGCCGACGTGACTCCTTTGCCTTTTGACCGAGCGAGGGCGGTCCGCGTCCCTTCCTTTTATTTCCTTTCCTTGT